ATTCATAAATGCTTAAGTGCTTTGGATAAAAGTAAAGAAGACAGGGGAACAAGGAGTGGCCTGTGGGATATGGTGTGGGCAGGGAAGGCCTCAATGATAGGATGCCATTTGAGCTGAGATTTGAAGGAAGTGAGGGCATGTCTGAAGGAGACCATGCCAGGCAGAAGGAACAGGGAATGTAAAGGCCCTGAGGCAGAGACATACCTGCCAAAATGCAGCCTGAAATCACATCTCCAATGTATTCCAAAAATACCTCAAGGATTTACCTAAAGTGGTCCCAGATTGTAGTGACCCCAGGTGACTGAAATAAGTAAACATAATTTCACTGGTGTAAGCCACCTTTCAACCCACAGATAAAATTCCAAGATATAAGTGGAAAAATAAAATCACAAAACACGTAAGCAAACAAAACACTATTAGCAAGATCCATAAGAAGCAACAAGCAGAATCAAGCCCATAAAACTTCAGATATGAAAATGATCAGACATAGACTATAAAATAAGTATATATTTAAAGTAACGAAAGAAGGTGTATTCATTTGCTAGGGCTGCCATAAGAAAATTTCATATACCGAGTGGCTTAAACAAAAAAAAAAAAATTATTTTCTCACAGTTCTGGAGGCTGGAAGTTCAAAATAAAGGTGTTTGAGAAGGATCAGTTCCAGGCCTCTTTGACTTGTAGATGGCCATCTTCTCCCTATGTCCTTCACATTTTATTCACTCTCTGCATATTTTTGTGTCCAAATTTTTTCCTTTTTAGAAGGACGCTAGTCATATTGGATTATGGCCCAACCTAATGACCTTATCTTAACTTGATTACCTCTGTAAAGTCCCTATCTCCAAATAACATCACATTCTGAGGTACTGTGGATTAGGACTTCAACATATAAATTTTAAGGGAAACAATTCAACTCACTACAGAGTAATGGAACATATAAGTAAAGGGTAAGAGAATCCAAAATGACTAAACAGATTTTTAAAAGACTCTAACAGAACCTCTAGAAATGTAAAACATAATAATTGGAAATAAATACTTAATAGGTGGATTTAACAGAAGATGAGACTTGGCTGAAGATAAAACTAGAAGACTGACCTGAAGAGATAACTGAGAATGCAGGACCAAAAGTCAAGGCCATGGACATTCTAAAGAGGTTAAGAGGTATGGTGATAGAGAATAAGCGGGTCTAGCATATGTCTTAATCAGAATCCTAGTAGATAAGAGAGAAAATGGAGCAGTGGCAGTACTTAAAATATAATAGCTGAGAGTTTCCAAAATTGATAAGGCATCAGGATTCAGCGGAAACATGGTGGAGTGAGAGACGTCCCCAGATTTCTCCCCTTGAAACAACAATAAGCTGGACATCTAAAACTCAACAAAAAACACCGAAACTGCACACCAGCACATCTGGGATCTGCACATAAGAGCTACCACAGGTCAGAACCCCAGGTGTAGGGCCGTGGACTGGAAGTAATAAAGAAGCTGCCTCTCACAGCCGCCAGAGCTCCCTGTAGGAGGAGGGGGAGGGGTGAAGGCGCAGAGACTTTCCTGAACAACCCTGCCTGGAAGTGCCTGGGCTTGTACGCAGCCAACCGGAGGGCCCAGTTATCAGGGCAGAAAGCAGAGAAGCAGGGCTGGACCGCAGAGAAACAACAGCTGATTTTTACTGTCCGGGTTGAGCCGCAGCCCCCAATCCCCAACCCAGAGGGCTTCTCCCCCCATACACTCCGAGACGGATCACCGCAGAGCCCCAGGGGAATCTGAGCAAATGCTACCGAAACTGCTAGGGATCCAGAGGCTTAGATGCCACCTACTGGAAACCAAAAGAAGAGCACCTTCTTTGCAGCAGGCTAAAGAGAGACCTTTATTTAATAAATCCTCTTTCTAGTCAGGGAGAGATGTGACAATGTAAGAAGGGTAAGAAAAATGTAACGTTGCTGGTGTTGAAGATGGAGGAAGAAGGCCATGAGCCAAGGAATTCAGATGGCTTCTAGAATCTGGAAAAAGCAAGGAAATGGATTCTCTGTGAGATTCTCCAGAAATGAATGTAGTCCTGTCAGCCCTTTGATTTAGCCCATTGAGACCTTTGTTGGACTTCTTGAATTCCAAGCTTTGGAATTCCTTAGATTTGGGAAATTCTTGTCCACTATTTGTCTGAAAATGCTTTCTAGTCCCTGCTCCTTTTCTTCCCTTTCGTGAATGCCCATTATTCTTATGTTTCTTCTCCTGATGATATCAGCTCGTTTTTGTATTTTTTTCATTATTTTTCATTCTTAGGTTTCTCTCTTTT